ACAGTTGCGAAATTGCGGTACATGGCAATTGTGTGAAGACACAACAAAGGGCTGCCCCATTTACTGGTTGTCTTATCGTTAAAGGCTTTGAATAGGATGGCGGCTCATTTAACTGTAACTTTAAGTACACGATGATTAAATGCAGATATTACAAAAGGGCTATTGATACTTTAATTATCTCCAAGCCACGTTGGCAGAAAACTTTGCCCCGGTGAAGAGGTGGTCGCTTTCCCCCCTCAATTTAATAAAGAGGGCAGTTTGCTCCTTGCTCCCTAAAACAAAACGACATGTTCAAGTAAGTTTTATGCTTCACATCACCAAACAGTAAGCAGCATAAATCGCAAAATAACCTAGTTACATTAATCATGTTCTATATCCCAAGGTTTTTGTAACCGTTACTAACGTTAACGGTGTGAAAACCAAGCAGGGTTCACAACCCGTCTAATGTTAAATTAGTCTAACGTTACATGGTCATGTTATTTTCATGTACTACTAATATTAAGTATAAGTGATGTATAATATCACGACAATCTCGGTAAGATGCAGGTCTGACTCTGAACCTCTTCAATTTAAAGTGAAGACGTTAAAGGCTTTATTTTTTAGGTTGTTACTTGCCCAAACGATTTGCATTTAACGTTAACGTTAGCACATCAGTAACCTCAGGTAACTTTAACTTAACGTTAGATCGCCAGTTAATCACTTTTCTCACGTTAACTTCTTCCACAAAACTATTCTTTAAACGACACATTGCACTTTTATGCCTCTTGTTATTTTTACATATGTGTAGTTGGCTTTTGAAGTGAGTTGAAATCCAATACTTACATTTATAGGTGAAATCCGGGGACTCAACTGCCGCGCAATGAATGTCGGGATACCTGGGGCTGCGAAGGATCCAGCTGTTGGACCCTCCAAACTGACAAAAAGAAGGCTGCATTTGTCAGCCGCATTTGAGGGGCCTTCGAAATGGGACAGCCTAATCGCATCGACTGTGACGTATTCGGTCTTCAAATGCAGCCTTCGAGGATGCGGTCCCTGAATTGAGACACAGCTAGTCTAGGGCGTTCCCGTACAGACTGGAAGTGCTAGTTGGCTAGTGCTAATTGGTGATAAAGGTGTGACAGCCCCCCGAAGACCCTACCCTTACCATAACCATCAGAAATGTTACTACTTAAACCTAAGTCACTGATATTATGCATGTCAACCAGCCGCATTGAGATGAGAATACGTTGTCAACACAGAAGCCCTGACAGAATGGGGCCCAAAGAGGCCCCAGGGTCGGGCTGGACCTCAAATGCCTCTTGGACCTCCTTCTCGATGTTCTAAGTGACAGCACCAAATACACGGGGTACAATGGTATCAGGGGCCTTGTCTGAATCACTTGTGATAAGGCGTGTGGTTTGGTGTTTTGGGATCAAGGCCCAAATTGAAACGTTTGGCAGTCTGGATATATTCCAGGTTTTTATGATCTCTCCAAACCAAGAACAGGTGTTCGGCTCCATCCAACCAATGGCGCCACAGGAAGACAGACAATGTGTTCTTTGGAGAGCACTCTAGGACCGTTCAAATCCTGATGTTGGAGGCATCCACCTTTACCACAAACTATTGGGTAGGATCCTGCTGGATGAGGATGTGAGCAGAGATGAACAGGTCCTTAACCCCCTGGAATGCGCTTTCTCTCTCTTTCTGTGGTCCAGGTAAAGGGTCTGTTAACAGAGGTGAGTGAGGTCAGAGTTTAAGCAACTGGACTGCAGTTACAAAAGAATCTCCTATAAAAATGTTCAAACCCATGAAACCTCTGCAGCTGCTTCCTAGACTCAGGGCAGGGCCACTCTTGGACAGCATGGACATTAGTCATGTCCATCTTTCCCTGTTCATCTGAGATTACATACATAGGAATGAGACAGTTTGGGCGTGAAACTCACATTTCTCAGCCTTGGTGTAGAGACAATTCTCCAGAAGTCTCTGCAAAACCTGTCGGACAAGCTTCACCTGCTCAATGGGGTCCTTGGAAAAAATGTGAATGTTATTAATGTCTAATTCTTATAGATTTACCGGTATAACCTGCATGGTACAAGAGATGGAAAGGGGGAAAAGTGCCCACTCCAGTAACCTTTGAAGTGCTCATTAAGTCCGAATGTGTCCGTTCCTTGATTATTTATATTCCTTTAGTCTGTAAGGGTCCACCAATCAAAAGAATCAACACAGCTTTTCATAAAAAATAATCCAATTTGTGAATTCTGTCATGCAAAATCCATCGCTCTCTGTCTTCTAACTTCTAGCACACTTCTCTCATCCTGCACCGTGTTTTAGTCATTACGTTGCTGTCTTCAAAATAAAAGTACATGAGCTATCTTCCGGCACTAGATCAATGACGTGTATTTGATATTATTATATAATTGTTGTAAAGTAAAGTAAAGTAATATTCTGTTTGAAATAAATACACAGTTTCGTAGTAGCCAATTTCAGTTTTGTGCAAGAGGAATTAAAGGCCTGTCCCATATGGATGCCTGTCCAAAATAAAGGCAGGGTCAATTCAGTGATTTAGCAAATAAAAGTTTTACGGTAATGTTTTGATATACACTGAGGGCACATGGGTTAGATCAGGAGTGTCTGGACTGGAGCTAGAGCTGGGGATGGACTGGGGCTGAAATGATCTAAAACAGTATGGCAGAACAGGCTCCAATTAAGATGCTGGAAAAAATTTAAATTTCTTTCACTAATGCCTTGGGGTTTATACCATAAAGCAGAGGTCACTAATAGGCGGACCCAGCCGCCGTCCTCTCCGGACCGCCATTGCACAGCCGATTTATTATTGGGACTTACTGCCTCGTGACGCATTTTAACCCGCGCAGCTTTTCTAGCATTTACTGTACTGTATAGCGGCCTAGGAAACTCGCAGACCAATCGGATGTGCTCTAATCTCATGTGACGCCGCTCAGCCAATCAAATCTGTGCATTCGAGTCGAGTCCTTGTCTGCGAGTGAGATACACCGGAGACATTTTGGAAACGCACACGGAGGAAGGAGGCGAAAGAGAAAATAGATTTCACAACAGATTTTAATCAAGAATGTACAGATTCCCACAGGCTTTTTAAAAACAGAATATCTCATAGATCTCCAATGCTAGCTGTCAGGACAAGCTAGAGCTCATGTTTCTGACTGAACAAGAAAAAGTAGGGAAGTGGTAGCTATGTAGAAGGGAATGAAAGAGAGAAGGAGGCATTACAGATGTTCATTTGCTATGATGTGTCCAGTGTTTATTATAAAATTGGTTAAGACTGCGCTTCATCACTTCAAGCTACACTTTTTATTTAATTTTTTCTAAAAATTAGGCACTTTACATAGTTTAGAATTTATTATTAGAGTAGTTCGTATTTATTATCCCTCCAGTTTGATGTGAAAACTGAATATTGTTGAAATAAATTTCAGTTGTTGACTAAAAACATGTTGATACAACTATACGCTATGGTTATGGCCCTGAATGATAACGCAAGTTAGTCGTTTTGATGTTCCAGACCTTTGCTTCAGGAAAAATTGTGAGAAACTATTCCACAGGTGTGCAACTCTCAATGCATATCATGTACATAATGATTTGTGAATGTGGACATTTTGTCCATGACTTCCCATTTTTTATTACAAGTGTGTGAATGTGTTTTGCACTATATTCAACACAATCTGTTGGACCTCACAGACCTAAAGACAAAGAGATACAGGCCCAAATGCCTGGCCATGCGGCCTGGAACAGAACAGAACAGTTAATACACACTTAAGCTGTGAATTTCATGCTGAAACCAAACTAAGGGTTTCTATTGGCCAAGCCTTCATGGAGGCGAAGGAAACCCCGGGAGTGCAGCCATCTTAGCTCTGGAAAAATAAAAGAGATCAGCACAAACAGCTCTATGTCTTTCCACAACTGCGACGGCAGTGACAGGAGAAGCATAACTTTCAGCGGTAAACTTTGTATTCCTGAATACACATTTAACATGCCAGACGAGCTGCTTGTTTTTTTCTCTTTTTACCTGTCTTGTGTGAGAACACATTTTATTGTTGGACCCACAGATTCCTGTCATTGCCACCGAAGGACCAGCTGCGCCATTGAAACTGATAGCGAATCGTCAGAGCAGAGCTGAGTGGAAAGTCTGCTTAATTACCTAATCGCTACCAAGAGCGATCATAAAACAGGCTTTGTATGTCTGGGCAGGAGATAGTTCTGTATCTGTGTTATTGTAAGTTGTTCAAGTTTCATGTGGTGAATTTTCTGTTAAGAAGATTTTGAGAGATATTTAAAGGTTAGTTTTGTTCCTATTACTAGATAGGAGGAGACTTGACAGGCTGATTCGGAAGTTGGAGGAAGACAGGAGGCTAAATTATCCCCATGCAGGATGCTCTGAGAACACTGAGCTGCTCTTTCAGTGGCAGGTTGCTGAATCAAGGAAAGATATCGCAAGTCTTTCCTTCCTGCTGCTGACACAGTTTACAATCAGCACTGCTCCCCTTACTTATATTTATTTATTGTTTGTTTACCTATATGTCTTCTCACTATTTCACACTTTGCCCTGCTGTTGCTGTAACACTGTGAAATATGCCCGTCGAAGGATTTTTGAATTGAATTGAGGTCAGACAAAATACTGGTCCACAAGGCTTTTTGTTGGCGCAGCCGGCTGTGGCTTTTCACATAGACATGTTCTTTTCTGCTTTGTTACTACCAGCGTTCACTGCTCCTTAACGCTACCTTTCAGACAGCGCAGCGAGCAGACAGATTGGCACAATCCTCGTGCAAAATAAGACAGTGTGATTTGTGGTGTTAGTGGACTGCAATTTGTTGCAATTCAACACTGAGGTGTTGTCACTGTAGTTGGCAGGAGGCCCAGGAGCGCGCACAGGGCTACATCCTGACCCCGAAATCTTCCAGTAAGAAGCAGCTTAGTGTCTGTTGCAAGCAACAGAAAAAATAGGCATGTGTTTAATTTCTAAGTAAAGTTAGAACCCATTGACACAAAGGAAGCTCAAAAGATATTTATTAATAAGTGATTTCATTGAAAAACTACATATCCCCTTTAATTTGCATTCATTTTACACCCTTCGTTTTAAAGCAGATGAAGCAGGAAAGCAGGTGGCATCTAGAATCTCTTTTTGATCTCTAGCAGTCACGAGGCAGAATCAAGTCTTAGATTAATTAATGCATCTTTAAGCCTCCACTCTCTCTCAAATTTAAGGTTGTTTACATTCATTTAATAATAAGAGGTGGAGATGGAAGAAGAAGGATGAGTGAGCAGAAGCACCCCCACTGGGAGTAGGTACTGCATAGTGGCAGCTGTGTTTGGTGCTGTTGTTGTTGCTGGTGGTGTTGGAGGCTGGAGTAAAGACCCACTGTCTGAGCCAGATAGGTCTCAAAGCAAGTAAGTGATGAGTTTGGTGAAGAACATCAATGAATCTGCTTGACCGTGTAGGTGGCGTTGTTTTGAACACTGCTGAACCAACAGCCGCCCGCTCACACATCATAGGACCGCCAGAATACCCTGAACAAACAAGCAAGATGGAAATGTTAGTCTTACTTTTCATGAAACTACAAAAATCTTCCTTATGCCTGATAGGAAAAGTCAAGATTTTATGAAATGTTGTTTCACTATTTCACAGAGAGTCACATGAGAAGTTGCTATAGGCCTAGACTGCCGGGGGATTTCCCATGATGCACTGAGCTCCTCTCTCCTCTACTTTCTCTCCCAATGTATGCAACCTCATCCCATTATTGCATGTTACTAACACAACTTCTCCCCTTTCTGGTAGTCTTGTGCTTTCTCGTCCGTCTCCTCTCTCCTCCTATCACTTCCTGCAGGTGTTTCTGGCTCTGGAGCTGTGGAGTCTGGATCTGTGGTTGCGGGTCACCTGCTGCCCCCGTGTTCCTGCTCGACACCCTCTGCTGCAACGACTATTGTTACTAGTCCTATTGTTATTATTGTAATTATAATCATTGACATTACGATTATTATCATTAACACTACTGTAAATATATGTACCATTATTCATTCAGTCTATAGCAACGTTGCCTTTAGTGTATGTACCTCTGTGTGTATATTGTGTAGGCTGCCTCCCTCCCCTCTCTCTCCTTACATCCCTCTCTTTTCCTCTCCTGCTCTCTCTCTCTCTCTCTCTCTCTCTCCTTCACCCCAACCGGTCGAGGCAGATGGCCGCCCACCCTGAGTCATGGTTCTGCTCGACGTTTCTTCCTCTTAAAGGAAGTTTCTCCTTGCCTCTGTCGCCTAGTGCTGCTCTTGGTGGGAACTGTTGGGCTTCTGTAAATATCATCACAGAGTACGGTCTAGACCTGCTCTTTTATGAAAAGCGCTGTGAGATAACTGTTGTTGTGATTTGGCGCTATATAAATAAAATTGAATTGAATTGAATTGAATTGAAGTTCAATACCTCTCTCTTGTTTGGTAAATTTGCCTTTTGGTTAAATCTGGCACATTTACAGTGATCGAAGCTCAAGCTTTTTCAGGTTTTTCAAAACAGCTATGTGTTCATCAGTGAGCTTCAGAGTGCTGGTAGGTAGATTTTTTTACATTTGACAGAGTCAGGCTAGATGTTTCTCCCTGTTTCCAGTCTGTATGCTAAGTTAAGCTAACTGTGTCACTATGCAGTCAGTTTTCATTAGATAGTGCTCACCACCATATTGCAAAGGGTCTTTCTAGACCAAGTAAGTTCTGTCTAAAAAAGTCTGGACATGGCAGGCACTACCTTAGCCTGTGGTTTTTGGTGGCAGGCCTCGACAGGTGACGCTGAGGTCACCGTCAGTCCCAGGGGACCTGAAGGTGAGGAAGCCTGGCCGGTTGCTGGTGATCTGGCTGTTGATCCAGGACTGATACTGGGACACTCGGGTGTAGACTCCCGGGAAATTAGGCAGGGCACAGCCGTAACCAAAACTCACGACTCCCCCCTGGATCCAGCGACCGCTCTGCTTGATCACCATCGGACCACCTGAATCCCCCTTTAAAGAGACAAATATTTAGTAGAAGAATTCTTTACAGAAGGTGAAATCTGACTCAAATACAGGTGTGAAAATGATCACCTGACAGGAGTCCTTCCCTCCAGCACTGAACCCGGCGCACATCATGTTGCGTGTGATTGTGCCCATTCCGTAGTTACAGTTACACTTTCTGTTCCCCACAACCGGTACCTGCACCTCCATCAGGTTTCCTGGGGGTGGAAGGTTCACTGAAGAGACACAAATTCAGTTTAGTAAACAACAAAAGTCTCGAAATGTGATTTAAATTGTTTTTACACAAACTGTACTATTTAATTAATACATCAGGTCTGCGGCACACCTCAAATACAGTCAGATTTTCCCTTTTATGAATCAAGCAAAATAAAATTTTGCATTGAACTAACTACTGAGAAAACAGTTGTTGCCACCATTGTAGTCAGAGTATCTCTGAAAATGTACTCCAGGTCCTTTATGACCCACCTCCACTTCCAATCCTGCCCCAGCCGGTGACCCAGGCTGGAATGCCGCTGTAGTAGGTGCTGCCTGGGGCTGCCAGGCAGACGGGCTGGATGTAGGTGGTGAAAGTCACCGGTGAGGAGAGCTTCAGGAGGCAGATGTCGTTGTCATCAGTGTCGGAGTCATAGTTGGGATGAATGATGATCTGTGACACTGTCCGAGACACTTGATTGGGGTTCAATCCCTGTAGTGTCTGGCGACCCAGAGATACAGTCAGAGTGCGTGTGGTTATGCCTGTGCTGTAATCAGAAGAGAAACAAAAAGAAACAAAAAGAAACAAAAACAAAGATATTAAAAGCAGACCTCAAGATCACATGCACACACTAAGTCCATTTTAAGATCATGTCTAGTCTACTATGTATGGGGCTTGAGAGATGTGGCAACAGGAAGATATTACTAAAAGTAAGTCATTTGTATCCAAATTACATTATAAATCATTTTCTGCCAGTGTCCAGTGTAATACAGCCAAAACTTGAGGTGTATCATTGTATCTCAGTCCAAATTTGTAAACTGTAATAAACTATTTAACTCCAAAGAGGAGAGAAGCATGATGGAGTTAAGATGATCATTCTAATTGGACGGCCAAATAAATTTATGGACACAACTTGTCGTCTGATGACAATTTAGCTTCTGGGGGTAACAGCCCATGTTTTGAGGCTTTTTGTGTAGCCAGCGTGCATCAGTATGCAGATATCTGTTTATAGAGATTAGCTTGAGAGATTTAATTGATTGATTTAATGGAACAATGAGTTAGGGAGTCAGAGTATTCTCATATGTTTTTATATTTATTGAAAATAGGTACTTTAACTAGGATATGTCTTTGCCCCCTGTCACACCAGATATGCTTTTGGACCACTCCAATACACTTGTGGTTAGCTCTACAGCTACTTAGGGCAAAAATCAAACTAAAATCTTGCTAGAAAGCCACTTTTTTTATTTTCCCTCCTGCCTCTTGGAGAAGTAATTCCCAACCTTTTTGGCAAAAAGACGCAATTTCTGTTTGCTAACCATCATCACAGGTTAAAACAACACAGATCTTCTCCTCGAATGATGATAAATGATGAAATAATAAAAATTTTAGTATCATAACAATATTTTTCATGTTTCCTTCCTTCCTTTCCATCATTTTGAAACCATTCTGATTGCCCTCAATGCTTACCTGTAGAAGCAGTGAGCAGCAGTCAGCACCCATTGATTGTTAATGAGGGATCCTCCACAGAAGTGGGACCCAGACCTTTGCAGACTGGCCTGCCAGGGCCAGCTGCCTGCAGAGGCCACCTGTCCTCCAACAATCTTGGTGTTGAGCTTTGGCTGTCCACACACTGAGGAGAGAGAAAGACACAGCGTGAGCAATACAGGTTTGCAAATACTAACAATGATGAAACTATAAACAAAACATTTACATCACAAAAACATGTTAAAAATGTCCCACATGACAGATAAACAGGAAATAAAAAAGTGAGCACAGAAACTTTGACTTACCACTTATTTGTGAGTGACACTCTGAAAATAGAGGACAAACAATTAAACACTTATGAAACAACAGTATTGTATTTATATTTACTGATATATGTCTCATTCTACATTGGCATATGATATTTACATGGGTGTAATTTTGTGATCATCTGTACAACTAAATTGATTTTGACTTCGGTAACCAACATTTGAGTATCAGCTGACTTCCTTCTTTGCTACATCTTATGACCACAGCCTAACAATAATAAGCTACTTAAACTATCACCCCTGTTTTTTTTTTGGTGAGGACGGGCTGAAATGACCGTATCTTGTTCTGCTGCTGTTTATCTTATTGCTGCCACTAATAAGTTTCCTCACTGTTACTACTGTCCCTGATGATGCCTTAATGTCACAAAAACATGACAGCAGCAGAAGTTAAAGGGGCCCTCCACTGATTTTACACATGAAGGTCAGTTTACTCTTTATGAAGAGTGGTACTCCTGTGAAAACTACTGTAGAATGTTGTTGTTTTATAAACAACCATGACGCTACCATGCAGTACAGTGTGTACAACAGTAAGTGAATGCATCACTGTCCCGTCCCTGTTTTGAGTCTGATTTGGGACCATGTAATCTCTCCCCTTTCTCCCCTTATTTCCTGTCTTCTCTGTACTGTAAAAAACATTAAAAACTATTTAATATTTATGGCATTGATGATTTTAGTGTCTGTTATTTAGATTTTAGCCATCAAAAATTTTGGTCTCTAAATATGTAAATGATTTCTGTTTTGTCTTAAAATGTTAAGTATAGATGATGCTAATATATGGGACCTGAATGGTCTTTATAACAGCAAGCAGCAACTGATTTGCCTTTAACGTTACAATACATTAAAGTTTAGCTGTATGATCCCTTGTAAATTTTGCAGTGCAGAGGTCACCTTGACAAGGAATTTAATCTTTAAACCTGATGGTCAGCCTGTACTGGACAGAAATTTTTGTAAAATATTGTGTTTAATACTTACTCAAAAGTACAATTTATATGAAATACAAAATGTGCATCAAATGAAAACTATACATTTGCATATTATATGAAAAGTAAAGAACATCTATATGTGTGTATAATACATTACCGTACATCTGTTAGGTTTGGGTTAAATGATTTTGGTAAATGTTAATGTTCATCAGAGATTTGCAAGCTCTGATCTAAAGAAATCACCCTGACTGAGTTGTTATTTTCTCACTCCTGGATGACTAACTGTTGAGTGAACAGATGTTCTTCTTCTCCTTCCTTCTTCTTAAAGTTTTTCATCAGAATCAGTTTTGCAATCAGGGTAATAACAACAAGGTGTGGCAACAAGATGTTAACCTGAAACCCATTTACTGTACACATCTCCACCATGATGGGGAAAAGTTATAGTATACATGGTGTTGGTATAGTGACGTAAAAACATTCCTTCAAACAGTTTAAAGTTGCTGTGATCTTTCTGTCTCCCTACTCTACTCACATACCCCTGAATAGAAAAGAGAAGTTTCCTTAAATCGCTTAAACTAAATCCACAAATATTTCTTAATTTGGACAGACTGAATCGAATAAGAAAGTTTCCTTATGGTTTATTAAGGATCAAATTACACAACTATAACCATAAAAGCAACCCTTTCTCACACACTGGGGATCCCAAGCCCATGCAATGTTTCACAATGTTAATGTTTTATTTTGAAAGTTTAACTGGATGTTTCATATTATGGAAGAAACTTCATTAGAATCCCATCACTATCTGCAATAACTACAGAAACTTTAAGAGATCACACCAGCTGTGAAAGCAGTTCAGAAGGCATCATGTCACTCCTCGTCACTTTGAGCTAGACACCCCATTTTTTTCCTGTTAAACAAAAGTAAGAGCGCGGAAAAAAGTGCTGTTTTCAATAAAATATGTAGAAATATTCCCCGTTAGAGTGTATATAAATATAGGTTGAGCTGAGTGAGAGCTGAGGTTGTGCTGATGCTGGGAATGTTGAAAATTGATGATGTTGTAAAAAATGACACTTTTTAAGGCAAAACACAAAGGTATGCAAAAGGTATTGATGAACGCAACCAGTGATTACTGACAGGAAATATAGCAGTTATTTCACTCAGCTCCTTTACAATGAATATCTGCTATGAAAAGAAAATTGTTCTTTATTGTCATATGTACATCTAGAGTGAAGCAGTCGTTATTTTACTTTTATGTATCCAGGCAAAGTTTTAACTCAGTGCAAAACTATTTTTATTCCATATTTATCTGACGACTATAGTTACTGCTCACTTTGCAGACTGATATAGTTGGTTGTTTCTGCCATCTAAAAATCCTTTCCCCCAAAAATCTAATAAAAGAATTTACACAACCTGGACAAGACTTGTCTTTATTTCTCCTTCTCGTCTAAATTTGATGATTAATTTTATAAATTGTTTTTGTGCACATTCTGATTCAGTGGATCCATTGAGCACTTTGGTTTTGTATATTTTATTGCTACAATTTTGTAAAAAGTTTAATTTGAATGCAGGATTTGCACTTTCATGTGATAATTAACAACCCTTTATTAATTAAAAGATTCTACTACCTCCTCATACAGCAGTCATCAGATGTCAAACATGACTGGTCCAAGTGTGCACAGGGAGGAGGTTTCTTACCTTGTGTCAGGAGAGTCAGCAGAGCTGCCACACAGATCACTTTGTAGAAAGCCATCGCTGAAAGTACATATGATCAGATCTGCATCAACATATATACCCTTCTTCTCCCCTCCCTCTCTTTTCTTCCCTCCTCTTCCGTCTACCACCAACATACCTGTCCAATGACACTCCCAACACGTGTCACTATCTCTAAGGTAAGTACATTTACTCAAGTACTTTATCTGGGCATCTTATACTTCAACTCCAAACCTAAACTCCAATCAGTCCCACCAGACATGTCTTCTCTAAACTTGTCCAATTATCCATTTCAAGTCAAAAATGAGAACAAAAACTGAAAACAGTTTTGTTTATCAGTACTTAGTTTTTTCTTCTTTTCTGTCCCATTAATTATCTCACGACGCCTCTGATTTATCTGGTGATTCTTTGGAGTGGCCCGACCTTAAGGTTAGAAACCACTGGACTTAACTAACTAACTGAATATAAAGTTGTTAGACTTCGACTTTCTGTCATCTTACAGGTGTGGCATATGTATTTCTGCTTATCTATCACAACGGATGTGTACTGTTTTAGAAAAAATATTTATTATTTATTTCCTAACCTCCTTTAAGTTTTGATTTCATTTATATTAAAAATCAACTGAAACTCAGCAACATGATGTTTGGTGTTATTTTTGTCAGATTTACACAGCTGTGGACGGAGAACCCTTCTGTTGTTATTAATACATAAAAGCACATACATAAAATATTGTGTTGGTATCATTATTATTATTATATTATTTTTAGAATATACAAATTAACATTAAAGCAGCATTTTTAGGTTGAAGATGGACGAGGTGGAGCTGAATTCAAGTGTTACATAATCTGCTGGGTAGGGCCCTGCACACGGATGTTTCAAATAACGACACGTTTCATTTCTTCCATAGGATTCATCATGAAGATATGAAGGAAATAGACATCACAAATCTGTTCTTTTAGATGAAGCACCTTTCATCTCCATCCCTTTAAACTGACAGCTGAACCGAGGCACAGGAATCCTGCTGCTTTCTCAGGAATGAACTGGTCAAACAGCGTCTGGCTTCCTGAGAACAAATGAAGTTGATCTGAAACAAGATGAACCACTAAACACATAAAGGCCACTTCAAGTATGTCTTTAAGAAGGGCTCAGATCTTTATTTTAACAAGACAGACAAGTGTCCAAAAATAACAAATGTATGGCTAAATGACAGGGAGGTGTGTGTTTTCACACACAGGACAGTGACTGTACTAAGTTTTTACCCCCAGTGTTCATATCTTATTGTTTTACAACATTGTATCAATGTAAATTTATGCTGGGGTGTTATGTTTGCAATTTTTTAGTCTGACAGCCAAAAAACTTACAGGTGCTATTTGTAGTTTTTAAATAGAAATCACTTATTAATTAACCACTTTTTTATTGCCTGGTTGTAACACATAAAAATGAACCACACACCTGCTTTCTTGGTCCCTTGTAACAGCCACTATGCTGTATCCTATGTAAAGAAATCGGGTCGGATTTTCTGTATGAACGCTCCCGAGCATCTCACCTATTGATTTTGATTTTGAACTGTACACACAGCGACAGCACTGCAGATGACAAGGAGTCCGCTAACACCAAAACACGATGGGCGCCCAGTTGAACTCAGACACAAACACAAACTTCACGTACAGATAAAAAATATAAAACGAGAATCAGATCGACATAGAAAACACTGTCTACCTCAGAAAGGCATTTGAGTCATGCGTAAATTTTTCCTGCCAGACTTAAGACAAGTCTCGCCTTTGTCACAACCTGGCTCAACAGTAGGTGACAAAAGCGGGAAACCACACAGTATGAAAATAATAGAGATTTTAATGAGTAAATTAGATTAGATTAGATTTGAGTTCCTTTGGCAGTACTCCCTATGAACCTGTTAGATTATGTAAATGGTTTTTGACACAGGCTATATATGGCTGGTCAGTTGGCAAAACAAAATCTGACAAAATGGGGGCTCGTCCGGGATCCAAAACCTGAATCTTGAATCTTGCCTGCTGTGATACAAATGTGGGGGTTTGTCCATTTTCTTTGTCTGGTAAGTTTTGGAATGCAGAGTTAGAAACTGTTGGTATTTTGCTGTTAGGTTACTACTAGTACTGTTGGTTTCACTCTTTTGCACTAACCTGCCTTTGTAAAAGTTTGGGGCTGGCCTTTGGAGGATAATAATAGTCTCTAATGATAGGGTATAATGCTAAGTACTAGTTTTGAGAAGCCTCATAGTCTGGAGTTTTGGTTTTGGTTGTTATTGAGTTTCTGTTGTTACATTTGGTTGGTGTGGTTAGGGTTGGATCTTAAGTGCTGTCTTGTGTAGGACTAGCAACAGTTTTAGAAATTTTGAGCCAAGTTGAGAATTTGTGTGCATATGTTGGAGCTTTCCCTGGTAGGATGAAGGAACGTTTCTCGTTTGGGATTCGTTCATAATATCTTGGTAGTGTTGCAGTGAACACGGTTAGAGCAGTTGTCTCGGGGGCACATCCCTGGACTCGAGGGGGTTCCTGTTTGTGCAGTTGCCTTTCTCGCGCTAACTAACTACCATTGTCAGATTTTTTATTTTGTTCAAAGTTGCTGAAACACAATATAACATCATGTCATTTGTCATCATGTGTCACTGTTCTGACAATGCTAACATGTGACGGAGCCCACACACAATAAGGGGCGCACTTTGGACTTAGTCATCTCCAAGGGTCTGGACATTTCCAAGGCTGTGGTGACTGATGTTGCTCTCTCGGATCATTCCTGTGTTTTCTTTGAGAGCGCTATCTGCGTGCACACAAATGTAATCACAAAACGGCATATCACTGAACACTAGTGAAAAATTTGTTGAGGCTTTCTCCTCGACACCCACCCTCTCACAGGTCTCAGTGAATGAGCTTGTAGATAATTTCAATTCTAAAATTACAAATGTTATTGATGCCATTGCACCAGCCAAGGTGAAGGTGGTCTCTGGTAAGCGAAGATCTCCATTGAGAAATGCCACGCTGGTTAGAACTCAAAAAAGAGTGTCAAAAAGCTGAACGCAGGTGGCGGAAAACAAATCTACAGGTTCATTATGACATCTATAAAGACAGACTTCGCATTTATTTACCAATAATAATAACCACTAATAATGCACGTACCCTGTTTGCTACTGTCGACAGGCTAACCAACCCTCCTGTGTCTGTAGCCTCTGAGCTTCTATCCACCAGGGCGTGCAATGAATTTGCCTCCTTCTTCACAGACAAAATTCAAACAAACAGACAAGTAATTAGTGCCTCCATATCAGGTACAGGATATGTCTTGTCCCTGTGTCCACTTAAAAACAATTCATATAGCATGAGACAATTTGATTCTATTAACCAAAAAAACCTGGAGGACATAATAAAACATCTGATAACCACTTCATGCTGCCTTGATATTCTGCCAACAGGTTTTTTCAATGTTTCTAAATGCATGGCCTCAGATCTGCTACAAATTGCCAACATGTTTATTTCCACAGGCCCTGAAAACTGCAGTCATTAAGCCACTCTTAAAAAAGAGCAATCTAGACAGTTCACTAATGAGCAATTATAGGCCCATATCAAATCTCCCATTTTTAAGTAAAATCATGGAAAAGGCTTTTGACCACAACACTGAGACAGCTCTTGTTATGGTCTTCAATGACACCCATTTAAACACTGACAGTGGCAGAATTTCAGTCTTAGTATTACTAGATCTCAGTGCTGCTTTCAACACGGTCGACCACAACATATTACTGGACAGACTTGAAAACTTGGTTGGACTTTCTGGCACAGTTCTAAACTGGTTGAATTCTACTTAAAGGACAGGGACTACTTTGTGTCTATAAGTAATCACACATCTGAGTTGACAAAAATTACATGTGGAGTTCCCCAAGGCTCCAATTTCGGGCCTCTTTTGTTTAACATTTACATGCTTCCACTGGCTCAGGTTATGAAAAACAACAAAATATGTTACCATAATCGTGCAGATGACACACAGATTTACATAAACATTTCACCAGGGGACCATGACCCCATACAAGCGCTGAGTAACTGTATGGAGCAGGTCAACGATTGGATGTGTCAGAATTTTCTTCAATTAAACAAAGATAAAACTGAAGTTATTGTTTTTGGAGCCAGGGAGGAATGATTGAAAGTCAGTGCTCGACTTCAATCTGTAATGTTAAGAACCACAAAACAAGCCAGAAATCTTGGTGTGGTCATGGACTCAGACCTGAATTTGAGGAGCCACATTAAGACAATTACAAAGTCAGCCAACTTTTACCTGAAGAATATATCAAGGATTAAAGGACTTATGTCTCAGCAAGACCTGGACAAACTTATCCATGCATTTAATTTCAGTCGACTTGACTACTGTAACAGTGTCCCTACAGGGCTCCCTAAGAAATCCATCAGACAGCTGCAGCTTATACAGAACGCTGCTGCTCGAGTTCTCACTAAGACCAAAAAGATGGATCACATCACTCCAGTTCTGAGGTCTTTACATTGGCAAAGAATTGATTTCAAAATCCTGCTAGTTTATAAAGCACTAAATGGTTTAGGGCCAAAATACATTTCTGATCTTCTGCTTTGTTATGAACCATCCAGACCTCTCTGGTCATCTGGGTCTGAGTTTCTGTGGACCCAAAAATTGCTATTGACCTGAGTACAGACTAGCTAGAGAGAGTAGATTAAGTGTGCTTCTCTGTTTATTCTCTTTTCGAAATAATTGTAACTCAATTATTTGCTCAACCCCTCAGCCTGTTTTTATTTTCCATTTAACTCTTTTAACTCTGATTGTACACTGCACTGTAACTTTTATTATATTTTAATGCGTATTTTTTCAACTTCCCTATGTTGCTTTTAAACTTTTTTATATTTCCCTGTTGCTTTTATGTAAAGCACTTTGAATTACCTTGTTGTTGAAATGTGCTATACAAATAAACTTGCCTTGCCTCGCCTTGCCTTGTTGCTCAATAAATCTATACGTCTGTTTTTCTAGTAAGGATAAACTAGTTTTACGTAATGG